AAGGAACGAGAATCGTCTATTCCACAACGCACGTCCACGTCCTGCCACCCCTTTTTCAAACCGTGTCTGCACTGCCCTTCCTTCAGTTGCTGTTGCTAAGGAGGGTTTGGGGGCGTATCAGAAAATGCACTGCTACAGGTGAATGTCACAGGCCAGCAAGAGCTGCAGTTCTCAGTCTCTGTTCCCACTTCACCCCTTGTATTAGCAAAGGAGGTGGTGACGGTGCCTGGGCTTGCCTGTATCTCTTCAGCCGCATCTTCAACTTGCCTCCTGCATTTTCAGAAGTAGAGCATGACCCTGACTCTTAGACCTCACACTTTCAGTAGCCAAGGAGATCAGAAGGTCTACTGAAGGTCATGGATATAAAATACTCCCTGACCAAGAAACTAGGGTGGAAATAATATGGTGACATGGGAACTATGGAGGCTCAAGAAGGTGGGCAGATATTCTCCTCTATGTTTTATCAAGTGAGTAAGGGATAATAGAAGAATTTCAGGAGAATGAATTTCATGGGTAGAAAAAGAACAACAAAGATCAGGAGGGGCTTGGGTAAAAATTAGCTTATTGACAAAATTTATGACTTCTTCTTCAAGATCCTGAGGACACTTCAAGGATGGAGGTGAATAGAGGTAGAAGAATAAAACCCACAAAACCCAGTATATCTTATACAGCACCCCAGCCTCACGTAGCTCACCTGTGTTCACGACACTAACATGTCATGGTCAGAAGTCAAGACACAGGGCTGTGTTCAGAATGGCCCCATGTGCTGTGAGCTGAGTCACAGCAGCTGACAACTGGGGTGAGGGGAAGGTTATGGGGCTATGATCATACAAACGGCACAGACAGAATCAGGAAGCACATCAGATTTATGGGGTTCCCTTGCCTGACTTCTTGAAAATTGTGTAGAAATAACCTATTATCAGTATTGGTCTGTGTGTACACTGTATTGATTCAGCTGTGATGAACAGCAGAAAATATTTTATTGCTGGTTTTCAATTATTGCTGTTTCACCAGTGATTAGGTCTAGGTAATATATTTTATCTTACACATATGCTTCCAAGGCATTTCCAAAAAAAATGCCCACTTAACCTAATATTTGGCAACCATTACCCATAATTAGATTTATTTATAAGTACATAATTCATGTACACGGGACCACAAATAGAAGCATGACAGAGTAGAAGCTGACACTTCCAGAGTGATAATCTCTGTTCTTGCACAGTCAGCTTTTCAGTTGTCTCAGTGGGAACTGCAGTTGAAGACTGCAGAGTAAAGTCCTTGGTTTTCCCCTCTAGCACTGGTGAGACCACAGTCTAGACCTCCAGAGATCCCTTCCAACCTCAATTTTCTGTTATTGTAAGAAAACTGAACTCATCCAAATCTAATTCAAAATGAGATTCCTTAAAATTTAAGTGATCTGAGGTTTTTTCTTTGAACACAGATGTTTTCAGTTCAGAAAAATTAAGAAAATTTATACTCCTCATTAAATCAGAGCTCAGAAATATTTATTTTTTTCAGTGAAATAACAGAAGAAAAAAAGAACCCTAAACCAACATACAAACCAAAAAAGCCCAAAAGGTAGAAGAAGGATAGGACTCAGAGGACTATAAACTGAGACTCTGGAAATGCTGTTGTAGTAGTAGGGAAACAGCGATCGAAAGTTTGACAGGAAAAGGAGTGACTTAGGCAGTCATCTGGAGAGTGTTCCCAGACATGCTCTAAAGAGCAAAAGATAGAGGTCTTGATAATCACACTATTAACTTTGAGGTTACAGTCTGAGGGACTGAGTTACTGAACTCATACTACAGAGCAGGAGTGTAATTATCATTTGTAATTAGGTTTTGCATAAAGAAACTAACAAAACAAGTATTTGCCCCATTGGCTATTACCTTCAAGTAACACATTGTTGCTCAGAACTGAAGGGCCCTTTCCATTCCTACAGTTCATCCATGAAGTTTTTAGACTTCCAAATGACAGACAGTATAATGTTACTCTTATAATAATGCTGCTGGTAGATTTTCTATCTCTGTTTCTGTGGGCTCTCCAGGAGGTCTGACTGACTCAATTTACATGCTCTGGGATCATGGTACCTAACAAGCACATTTAGTATAATTTGTCCTAGACCCAACACAATACCTGAGTGCTCTGTGATACTGGAGAGTCCTTGCCAAAGCTATTATCCTAAAGAAACATACAGATGCAAAACCAAACAAGCAATCACAAGAAGAATTTATTTCTGCATGGTCTCTCTGGCGGAGTTACAAATACCTTTAATATCAGTGAATAAGTATATAGGATGATAAGTAAGATAAACAGTATATTATGGGAAAATGCAGTACATCAAAAGGGGAGATCACAGAAGTAATTACACCGGTCCACTTCATCTGGTTGCAGGGTATAATCATTAATAGGCTACAGCACAAAACCTGATCTTTATGTCAAGTAGTCTTGGTGCTACTGACTTTGTCAATGATGTGAGAGAAGCAAGTACAACTTGTGATTTGGGGAAGAGGTCTGGTTCTAGAGAGCTCATCTTTTAGTCTACCTGAGCCTGAAAGTACTGCATATTCCAATACTACTTTTTTTTTTTTTTTCCAAACAGCCACCATATCTTTTGAAACTGTTTCACTTTCACATAAAATATTTAAGAGCTCAATAGAACCTGGACTGAAACTAATTTTCTTTGGGGACTGCTGTAACTGTTCTCATGTCTTTTTCATTTAGTCCATCTATTCTTAAAAGCATTCAGATACTTTTATCTGCAAAGCAGATAAGTATCTGGAAAAAGACACACTAAGAAGGACCTCTCAGAGAATTTTCTGTTTTAATTATTTTAAATATTGCCTTGGGACATTTGGGCCATCAAATCTATGCAACAAATCAGACATATAGAGGCATTCAGGTAGATTACACTACAGGTGAATGTTTCAGGAATGGCTTATTGACCACGAAGCCAAGCAACTTCTGCTGCCTGACTTCCCTCACAAACAAACGTGGGATCAGGTTGTGACATCAAGACAGACAGAGGGGCATTCCCACTGTCAACTCTGCTGCAGCTGAGGCTCAGAACAGATTACGGCATCACGACATTCCTGGTTCTGTTCAAATAATGTCATTATAAGCAGAAGGGAGGTTTCCATGGAGATACAGATGCCTCTACATCCTGCCCATGACAGGTGAATTCAGTCAGAAAAGAGTCCCCGGCCCTTATCATTTCCTAGTGCTGATGTAGCAATGTAGCAGCAAATCAAGGCCCTTGACATTAACAGTCAAAAAAGGTGTCATTACTAGCTTGGTCTAATGACACTATCAGACTATAGTGCAACAGCACCTGGAAGATGAACACTTAAAATTTAACAGCAAGGTCTTGGACGGATTTAAAGGAAGAGAGAGGCGGTAAATGATAGCCAAGAATTGTTCAAGAAGATAATAGCCTTTGGAGAAAGGAACAGTTTCATCTGAACAACCACAGAGATTGGGATGAGTTTCAGGTCAAACTTATAATACCTGGTCTTTCCCTACTTAAAACATAGTTTATTTGGAAATAAAGCATCAGATATTGGAAGTGCAATAAACAGAGAAAGAGACTGATTTTCTGCCCTCATTTCTGCGAGAATCTGTTTAACAATTCAAGGAGGCTTAACCGTGTCATAACTTGCACTTTATCATACTATCACCCCCTACAAGTGAATTACTGTGACACGGAGCTACTATTTATTCATTGAAGAATTACAGTGTGCCTCCCTAAAACACAACTTCCTTTGAGGCTTTCTTTATTTGATTATTTTCTTATTCTAGTGCAATATTTAAGAATTTAAGTAAGTACTATATTGTTTTGGGTATTGTGTGAGATTATAGAATCACAGAACAGTTTAGGTTGGAAAGGACCTTAAAGATTATCTCGTCCCAACCTGCCTGCCATGGGCAGGTATACCTGCCACTAGATCAGGTTACTCAAAGCCCCATCCACCCTGGCCTTGAACACCTCCAGGGAGGGGGCAGATCAACTCTTCTAAATTATGTAAAACAAAGTTGGAACTTTTTTCCAGCTGCACACTGGCTTTGTTTAACTGGATCCCATAAGAGTATAAGTTCTGCTGAATTCAGACTTCTTGACTTGGTTCAGACTCTGACTTTGTTCATAGTGCTGAAATTTCATTTATCACCTTATTGAAAGGACAATATGACTGTTACTAAAAATAGCATTGGCTATTGTCAAGGATTTCAGAAGCTGTCTGTCTGTTGCTGTAATTTTCTCTTTGAAATCTCATTGATTCATTCAGTTACCACAGCAATACTGTGATAAACTATGAATATGTATGATACAACAACTCAAAATAAAGATGCGTACACCATAAAGAATTACCTGAAATATTGCAGGCATCTTCAACAACATTCCAGACACTCTCACATCCATTTGCAGCATTTATACACTGCTCCCTCAAATGCAGACAGTCAGCAGTCTGGACAGTAGATATACATGTGAAATGCATAAACAAAACTGTGAAAACAGAATACAGTGTTATATAGTTAATACAGTAGATATTGTACTGACCTTTTCCTTTCCACCTTTTCCCTTTTTATAGATTACAAAAATATAATTTACTGTAGTTTATCTATAGATTCAAGTTTTCTGTCAAGTTACTTTTTAACAGCAGAAATCTTTTCCTCAGTTTTGCAACGGGAAAATTAAATTTAAATTTCTGAAGTTGCAGTGTGGCATATTTTGCATTGTTTTACCCCAGTATTATAACATCAGCCATAGCTATATATGACATCAGTGCACAGACATATAGAAATTACTGCAGTTCTAAGATCCCTAATAAATTACAGAAAGAAAAACAGTATAAAATTCAGAGGAAATGGCATTTTATTTGCATGAAATCTCACCAAGATAGATTATACTGGAATTCCTATGAATAAACTATGTGAAAGATTTGACAGGTACACAATTGTTAGACAATAAATGCAACTTTATTTTATAATAGAGTACTCTTCACTTTCTTTGTTTTTATTTCACAGATTCATTATTTCTTGAAAGCACCACCCCCCAGTTTATGTCTTTATCTGCTTCCCTGAGGGCACTGAGCCTGTTAATTGCATAAAAAAGTTCTGAAACTGAGGACTGATATGGAGGTTTCAAGGTAAAAAATTTTAAAGTATCACCACCTGTGACTTATCAGTAGAAAATTAAATTGCCCTGCTAAGAAAAGAAAAATCACCTGGGGTTTCATCAACATTCCCATGGTAACACAACTTCTAAATTGTAACCACATGTCTTTATTTTCTATAAAACTAAGTTTCAGACACTGATTTCAGGCTTTATCAAACTAGCTGCTGAACACCTGATGCGAGTGTTTTCCTTAGTTGTTGAAGGACACAGCATCTTCTAGACCAAGTGTCCTTTTCCACCCCCCTCATGTTTACGTAAATTCATATGGAATTTGAGTAGTTTCCAGCAGTGTTTAATCCCTTAAACATCACGTGCAAGAGGCATGAAATATTCCTTCAAGACTTGTCCAGACCCTACCGGGAGAAATTAAATTTTTCCAATGATTCATTTTAGAGTAAGAAATTACATATAAAATATTCATCTAAATAATCTTAAAGAGCCAGTACTGTTTAGAGGTGATGACATCCCTTCTGGAAATGATATTTACCAGTGATATAATAGTGCTGCTGTAGGGAACACTTTCTGGATGCATGTTGATAAATATAAAACAACATTTAATACTACAGGTACAACAGCATCTAGTGTCCCTACGAGCCAAAGAAGAGGCCATATGTGCTTATTATAGCTGGTGCTAATCCTTCCTCAGTTGTGCATATTCCTGCCAGTTCTCAGATCTATGCAAGACTGTTGATGATTTCAGTGACTTCCAGCCTGAAATACCCTTTTAGGCTGCGTCTGTACGTCAACCTTGAAAACCGATTGATAGAAACAGCTCCTGCCTCTTGACATGGAGGAAGGGGCAGCTGGCCCATCCATAGGAACAATTTCGGCTGATTAAGACAACATTTTAGTTCTGCGACTGTCTCCAAAAGGTCTAACTGTGAAATTACTCACTATTTGTTCAGACGACAAAAGAAAAAACATTGTCAAATACTTAACGGGTGAAAATGACTCTATATATAAGACAATACAAAATTACAAACGTAGGAACTTATTAAGAAAAGGTACTTCACTGGATGATCATTTGCCTGTTTTGTAGGTACTGACATAACAGAAGATTTACGCATCTGATTAGGATTTGCAGCACAAAGACTCTGTGCTGCCTCCCTCCTGTTCCAACAGCTTTCGAGGAGCAGTGGCTGAAAATGGATACTCAAAGTAGGACTGACTGAGCAGCCAACTAGCAGCACCTGCTCCTTTTTAAGGATTATTTCAGACTGCTGCTTATTTCAAACCCACCTGGAAACTGTGTCCACAAAAACAAGGATATGCTTTTGCAAAATAAAGAGCTGAGTAGCATAATCGATGATTGAAAGCAATTCAGCCTAAGAAAGGGCTTCGCTAGGTCTAATGATATATTATGGATGTGTCATTTGTTTCCTTAGCAAGACGGAGGGGTACACTGCCAGGGGTATACATGAAACACTGTCCTATATGATTTTAGAATCCAGTGCACTATAGCTTATATAACTGTTTAAATTTACAGTTACTACTTTAGTCATTCACTTTTGTTATTTACTCTAGTGTTTGGAATACTGACTGTTTCCTGCTTAAAAGAGTTCAGGGCATCTTAGTAGCTAAAACTTTTATAGGGACCCATTTTGACAAGAAGACACATATATTTAAATTTCTACAGATGTCTGTATTTTTATGCAAGTGACTATTGATTCATTGTGTAGGTGTAAAATTCCATGTTCTGTAGAATTTGATGTCTAAAGTGAAAAGGGGAGAAAAAAAAGAACATTTTAGCACCCGCATTTTGCAGATTGGGAACTGAGGAATGGAGGAATTACATTTCCCAATTCTGAGACTGCAGAATTATTCTCTGGCAGGTAATAATGAATAACATCAAACAAAGCTGTGGTTTCTATCCAATGGCAAGACCAACAAGATAGCTAGCTCCAAAGGAGAATGGCAAACTATAGCTGAATATACTTTGAATATAGTTGAAAAGCAATAAAGGACAATTTTACTGTAACAAGAGCTCAGGAAGAACTACATACAAAATATTTTTGACAGTGGAATACAAGTTTACAATAGTGGGGTTTTGAGAAGAGGGAGAATAACATAAATAAATAAATAAATAAACAACAACAAAAACCCCACCAGAAATAAAAATATACTTTTCTCATTGTATTCTCTTCTACCAAATCCTTCTGTCCCAGCTTTGTTGATTTTCCCTGTTTCTCCACTCAAACCCAAAGGAAGTGTCAGCAGCCCTCTATGTAGCAGTGCCAGCATCCAGCACTCTCCAGTCAGCAAACAAGTGGCTGCTTACTCAGACAAGGCGTCCCATCCGTGGGTCTCCTCACCGGTTCGGCTCCTCACCGCCGCCCTGCCGTGCCTTACCTCACCCCTGCTGCAGAGGCGCTCCCCGGGGCCGGGCTGCCGGACCCTGCCCAAGCCGGTGCGAATCCCGACAGGTCTCTGGGAGGCTCACCGGGAGCAGGAGAGGGGATGGACCCGAAAGGGGAAGCCACAGAGAAGAGCTATGAGGAGGCTCGAGTCCCGGCGGGCCGGGGTCCCTCCCGCCCCCCGCACTTACCGAGGCCGAGGAGCGCGGCCATGGCCGGCCGGGCCGTGCAGCCCCGCAGGTCGCGCCGGCGGCAGGTGCGGGAGCGGCGCCGCCCCTTCAGCCCCGCGCCGGGCACAGCGCCCCGCCCGCCCCGCCACAGCCGCGCCTCGCACTCCGCCCGCCGCCGAGGGGCCGGGTGCGTCCCGCTCAGATGGGGGATTTTGGTATTTTCCACGGGATCTGGCACTCCGTCCGCGTTCAGTTCTCACTTGATTTCGAGAGAAACTAACAGAGCAAGTCTTTGACTGCTGCCTGTCAGGTCTTTAGAAAATGCCTGTTGCTGTGTCCGATCATCTGCTGCAAGCACTTTTCAACACGTTTTAGAAGTGAATTTGTTTGTTTTCATCTCAGGTGTGGAATAGGACCGTGATGTGTTAAGGAGAAAGAAGACCTGTGGAACATGTTAAGACTCAGACCAGGGGAACAACTAACCAGCTGTTAGTCTGGATCTAGACTGGATTGTGAGTCTAACTTCAGGAGTTTCACTAAAATACATCAAAAACAGTTTGCCATACAAAAGTCAGTAGCTGACTTGGTACTTAATAAAAAATAAATCAACCATAATGCATGCAATCATACACCCGCTGGCTTCAGTGTGTGCTCTTTGCTTTTGCACTGAAAGGAGGGGGAAACAACAGATCTCTATTGATTTCTCCATGCTACTCATGAATCTTATATTCACTACAGAATACTTTTAACTGGATTTGGTCCTTGAATGCTTAAAACAAAAAGCCATAATGGAACTTTCAGGTTATCTGTCAAAGAGATGTAGTGGTTGAAATCCTGTGCCTATTGACAAACCCAAGTCCAGATTTTGTTTATTTTTTGTTTAGCTCAGGAAAATTCAATCTTGCATATAATCTTATTTCTAACACGATTTTTAGCTTATTTATTTTATTGCATTATTTATTTAAACTCCTAGTGACAAAATTGCTAAATATTTGTTTGTTTTTAAATCGTATTCAATAAATATTACTTCACCCAGTATATCCAACAGCCACAGAAAAACCTGTAGAAGTAGAAGGAACGGTCTGAGAAATGAATATAATTTTAGCTGCGAGACAAATTTTCAATTTGAGAGCTACCTTGGTCTTGACCTTCAACCATAATAACATGCAGTAGTATGTTATCATACAGTGAGGGCTGATTTAAGCTAATATTTAGTGTACTTTCCGTGCTATAAAGCACTCACCAGGTTAATAACATGGATTTTTAATATCAACAATTCTGATAATATCAGGGAACAAGATGGTACCCTCTATACAGTCTAGAAGAAAAGGGGAAAAAAAGCCTTTTTGGCGGTGGAGAGAAGGAGATATTATCTTGCACCCATTGTGACTGCAGGACACAAGCTTATCACTACAGTGACAACAAGAAAGGAGAAACAGGTCAAGATATCAGACCTCCAAGGCTGTGAAATATGTTGAGAGACAAAGTACCAAAATGACCGTGGCACAGTTTATATCTGCAGAAACAAATATGTCGTGATTTAAACTCCGTGTTCAGTGCTGCTGTGGCCAAGCAGAAACAATGGCATGAGAACTCCATTCCTATGCTTCTAACCTGCCAGTGGAAATATTAGAATATCAAAACAGCTAGAGGCAATAAAACCCAATTAAGGTTCAGCTTTCAGATAATTTTCAGTGTTTGTACACTGGATAAGAAATGCTCATTCATCACCTTTTTTCTTCTGATGGATAAGAAGTCCAGAATTCCTTTAAGATGCTTTAATTTGTTTCACATGCAAAGGGCATTACATTCCATATTGCTCTTAAAATCTTACCCTCTCTTCTCACAGCCATTTCTATCTCCATTAATAACTACTGCTTACTATTTGGTTTATTTCTCCCAGTGATTATTTTAATTAAAAAAGAAATACATCTGATTAATATTTTGAATGTATCCAAATATTTAGATCTTTCTGGAGTAAAAGGCCCTAAAACTGGCAAAGAACCCCGTATCACTACTATACACAATAAGTCAACAGATTTTTAAATGGCTATGGAGTCTTTGCAATGAAATGGTGCCTGAAAACATATCAGAGCTAAAGAAGAAAAAGTCTAGGTAGTTCTCAAATTTTGTAAAACTAAAGAAATAAAAACATGCATATTTGCATCAAAAATATTTATTTCATAGAATCCAGAAATTTTTGAATGAAAAGTCTTTTCATTAAAATAACCAAATCTTTATCTTGATAACCATATTTAACCAATTTTTAGCTTGATAACCATGGAAGTTCCCAGTCCTTAGTTAACACTCTCTAGCTATCTTTACAATTTCAAATCTTAAGATAAGCTCTGATTGTATCATATGTATCTGAAAGATATGCTATTTACTCAACAAAAACTGTCCAGAGGAACACCCAGAATCATTTGTTAATGTCTCATTTTTTATTTATTTTCTCCACATAAAAAGTACTGGTAAGTTAAAATTATGGCTAAAAGAAATTCCTAAAAATGTTGGAATATTTTAATTTTGGAGATCTAAGTGAAAACAAGAAAAGAGAAAAAAGAGAACAAAAGAGACATTTTCTGTTACAAAAGAGAAAATTAAGGCCAGAACCTCCATTTCTAAGATGGCACAGAAGACCTGCAAGAGCCCAAAACTGCCATTGACCTTTAATGATGTTCTTGCCGCAGAACCAACTTAACTAACACAATTTATCCCACTGGCATTAAGGTAGCAACAAAAAGAAGACAAGTTGTGTTGGCAGGTGGTGTTCACCCCCCTTTAGAAAGATGCTAATTAGGACTTTTCCAAGAGTATCACTAACATTGTTGTTTTAGTTCCTTATGTCCTGGCCCAGGCCCTGTACCCTTTCCCTCCCTGTTAATCTCACGGGGATCTGAGCAACACACCTGACAAGGCATAAGAATTTTGCTCGTCTTTTATGTGTGACCTGTGACCTTTTATGTTTGAAAAGTATACCTACTCCCTTTTCTTGGATAACCAGGTACTTTCTGCATTCTTTCTCTCTTCAAGGAAAAGCTAAAAATACATTTTCTGAAATTAAAATGTAGCCTTCCAAAATTTGGGTTTAATTGACATTTTATGTCTCAAATAAATGATTGCTGATAATTATTTTGCATCTAGATTACTAGTTTTAATTATTTTTTTTTAATTTTTACTTGCTTATATGAAAACAGAAGAAAAACTTAGAAGATTTTTCAAATTCCATTTTCCTATTTCTGTAATGTTTTAATTCAGCAGCTCTTTGTTCAATCATTTCAAATTATATAGAAAAAAGTATATCTTGTTTCCCATTTTAAGAATTCTATATTATCTGTGCTTGAAGAGCAAAAAATAGCCTTCTAATGGTAAAGGAACTGCAATAGCTAAAACCAAATCCTGCTGTGCTTTCCACAATTATTTGGGTTTTCTTTTCTTAGAAGAGACAAAGTAAAATAATTTCTTGAAATAACATTGACATAATAGCTATACTCAAATATTAAGCTTATACAGAGAAATATAGAAATTCCTATTATTTTATTTGATATTTAAACATTCTTTCCATTTAGATATTTCTCATTATTTTTTTTTAATTGGAAAAGAGTATTCTCCTTTTTCTCTTTTAATAGAAAACTTTAATTTATAAACAAATGCAATTTTTTTTCTTTCAACACCAAAGTAAACATGGAGCAATTGCAACAATGTCAAGTAAAACAGCTGTTGGGGGAGGCTAAAACATAAAGTGATTAAGCACTTCATAAAACTATAGTTGCCATGA